TCTGCTGATGGCTAACCGGCATTTTGAAGCGGTGAAACGGTTCCATTCTAGTAACGTGACACTGCCAGAGAACATGAGGTAACTTCAGCTACATAAAAGCTCATTATAATGAGGTAATGAAGAGAAGATGAAGATGTTTGCTTGTAACGCTGAGGCCTGCAGCCTGCAGAAGCCTGCGCTGCCGGCTAACTCCGGCTAACAGCTTGTGAGAGGAACCTGCAGGCTGCTCCGGCGCTCAGTTTATCTGCTATAAATGTTTATAACTGTTGGCAGAGCATAGATATATGTTGGTTTCTGTGTTGAACACGTTCGGCTTCAGTTATCATGTGCAGAGAACACATTTAATGAACTGACAGCTCAGTTTCTAACATTATAAACAGGACGGTGGCGCCAACAGTCCATTTATTCAGAGCACACTTCAAGAGGAGATCTCTGATTGGCCAGTTAGGAGCAGCGGTAAATAATCCAGGTGATCTGATACTGTCGTCATGGAGACTTCGCTTTTAAGTTGAATCAGTTCCAAAATAACAAGATGTAAACCTGAGGAAATATGATCTGTTTGTGAAAATGCTGAACAGCAATCCTGCTGCTTTCACTGAAACGGGATCCTGACTGAACTCTGACTTTAATTTGACTGAAAACAACAACAGAACAAGAATTTACAGAATGAAGCTTCCTGATATCACTAAAAACAGGTTTCTGGATTAAAAAGTCAGCCTGTCATTTTCATATTAAAACAGGTTTTTTATCAAAACTCAGATTAAATGTTTGTCAAATGAATTGGTCAAAAAATAAAATATCCTTTAAGACACTACGATCAGGTTTATAGGTTAAATGGCATATGGCTGCAACATAGAAAGACAACAAACGTTTGGGGATAATTTGTGTCAACAAACCTGTGATCTTTGAAGTTTCTGCCTTTTAGTACTTAGTATGCATATCAGTTTAGTCACTTGTAATAATAACCTCACTTACTCTTATTTTCTACATTTTCACAAATAAAAACTAGAAAAAACTTTACAGTATGAAACATGGAGACACGCTTCTTTAACATGAAACAAGTTTGTCCATGAAGTGAAGCGCAGCACATTGATCAGTTATTTTTGATGCATGAAAACAAGTAAATATTGGAGTATTTTCATTGATTTCTGCTGATCTTCATGTAAATCAGTCCGAACAGCCTGGTGTTGTGGATATGATGATGTGATTAGCAGCAGCTGGAGGCAGGTGGTTGTATTAATCATTTGTTTTGGCAGCAGGAAAAGGTGAAGTTTTCAATCAGCTTCAGGTCAAACTGTTTCTGTTTTTTTATCTTATTAGTCTTTCTTCCAGCTGTAGGTTTTAATAACGTGGGGTTTTTATCTTGTTAAACATTTTGTGCTTCCTGACGTCTGGATCAGATCTGATCGGCTCCAGAGGTCACCTGATGAAGAGGAGCAGCTCTTCCTCCCAGATGTTGACCTCACAGCTGCAGCTAGATGAATGTTTTATTAGAAATAATAACTAAAAGTCAGATTTCTGAGCCACGTTGAGGACTGAAGTGATTCTGACTGGTGGCCTTTAATTAGGCCATAAATCTGCTGCAGTTCTCTGTCACTAACCAGAAGTGAAGGATGAAATATTATTATTATTATCATCATAATGTCTGATGGGACGGCCTGCCAGCATTATGCCAACAGTCAGGCCTTCTGTTGGTTGACCTTTGACCTCTAGGTGAAACTGGTTCTCCAGAACTTTGTGGTTTGGTTCAGCAAAGCAGCAGAAGGAAGAGTTTATCATCCAGAGGAAAACAATAAGTCATGCTAATGCAAACTGAGCTCATGATTCATCATGTCATTTATTGATTATTGCGACAGGCCTACGCGTAAACCCATATTGTTTAACTATAAACTGATGGAACTTTATGGAGCCGTTTTCCTCTCATCAGTTTCATCATTTAAACAGAATCTTTAGACAGTTTGAATGGAAAAATTATTTCTGAATCAAATCATAGAATAGACTTTATTGATCCCTGAGGGGGAATTGCTTATTTGTTGAAAGCTACTCCATCTTAGGTAATAAACACAAAGTTTGTAAAATATATAAGAGTATATAAGAGTTCAAAATGACTAAATATAACAAATAAATAAATGAATAACAAGCAAATCATGATCCTAAAACACATGAACCAGTTTGAATCCCTCAGAACAGCTGATGGGTTTCTGCGTCGCTTCGTTCCAGATGTCTGCAGATTTGGCCACAGATCACGTGAACGGGAACGGCACTGAGGAGCCCATGGAAACCATGGAAACCATGGAAACCATGGCAACGGTGACCCGCTCCGAACACTTCCAGGCTCTGCTGGACGCCGGCCTGTCACAGAAAGTAGCCGAGAAGCTGGACGAGCTTTATGTAGCAGGTCAGGACACACACACACACACAGCTACTCTAGAGGAGGAAACATCACCGACACACTGTCTGCATTTCCATAACTAATGTTCAAAAACATTCAGGTACAGTGATGCCAACTCCCACCTGCAGGTGGCGGTATTTCTTACCTCCACTGTTACAGTCCACTGATTGACGTGGCGAGTTACAAATTGACCTACTTAAGTTCTAAAAAATGTTAGTGGAGCCTGACCTGATGATGACCTTTGACCCTGCAGGCCTGGTGGCTCACAGCGACCTGGACGAGCGCGCCCTGGAGGCTCTGAAGGAGTTCAACGAAGACGGGGCGCTGCAGGTTCTGGTCCAGTTCAAGGAGAGCGACCTGTCCCACGTTCAGGTGAGTTTCCCTGGGCGAGGGGGCGGAGCCAGCGGCGGCATCTGACCCGTCTGTGCTCCTCCAGAATAAAAGTGCCTTCCTGTGTGGGGTGATGAAGACGTACCGGCAGCGGGAGAAGCAGGGCACCAAAGTGTCTCCGGCCTCCAAAGGTCCAGATGAGGCGCGGATCCGGGAGCTGCTGGACAGAACCGGCTACACGCTGGACGTCACCACAGGCCAGAGGAAGTACGGCGGCCCGCCACCGGACGGCGTCTACGCCGGGCCGCAGCCCACGGTGGGAACCGAGGTAGGCCCGCTGCCAGCAGGCTGTTGCTTAGCAACGGCCCCACTCCTGACGGCTGCCGCTCCCCGCAGATCTTCGTGGGGAAGATTCCCCGCGATCTGTTCGAAGACGAGCTGGTTCCTCTCTTCGAGAAGGCCGGGCCCATCTGGGACCTGCGGCTGATGATGGACCCGCTCAGCAGCCTGAACCGCGGCTACGCCTTCGTCACTTTCTGCGCCAAAGACTCCGCCCAGGAGGCGGTGAAGCTGGTAGGTCCGCCGCAGGCAGCACGCCGTGCACAGACCCAGCCAGTCCCGGTACCAGAACCTCTCCTCTCTCTTCCAGTGCAATAACTTTGAGATCCGGCCCGGCAAACACATCGGCGTCTGCATATCTGTGGCCAACAACAGGCTATTTGTCGGTTCCATTCCCAAGAGCAAAACCAAGGAGCAGATCGTGGAGGAGTTTTCTAAAGTCACAGGTAAGAACCGTTCCCGGCGCCGGTTCTGACGGGTCGGGCCGACCTGACCTCTAGCTCTGCTGTGTCCGTCCAGAGGGTCTCAGTGATGTCATCCTCTACCACCAACCCGACGACAAGAAGAAGAACCGCGGTTTCTGCTTCCTGGAGTACGAAGACCACAAAACGGCGGCGCAGGCCCGTCGCCGGCTCATGAGTGGAAAGGTCAAGGTCTGGGGCAACCTGGTGACGGTGGAGTGGGCCGACCCCATCGAGGACCCCGACCCGGAAGTTATGGCCAAGGTGAGTCAAAACCCAGAACTCGATGAGATGAAGACGAGATTCAACCAGGAGCTGCAGGAAGGCAGCGATGGAGGCTGAGGAGGCCCAAAAAACACCAGAAACCTGCTGACGTGAGCTCACCTGATCGGATCTGCTGGTTACTATATTAGCTACAGCTAAATTCGCTGTGACGAGTGAAATCCCGTCGCTAACATGAACACAAAGCTATAAATGTTGGCCGAGGTGAGAGTTCACCTGTTAAACTGACTGAAGATGAATCATAAACCAACAGCTGGAGAAAAGACATTTTTATTAGAACCTGCTCACAACAGACAGGCTATCAGAGCCTCTTTATCATCACAATGAATAGAATTTCAGATTTTTGTATAACTTTTATTCAGGTTAACTTAGAAAATGAGCTGTTATTGTTACAGGTTAATTTTCTAAACTACAGAAAAAAGTAACTTAGAGAAGCTCAAATGTGAAAAATTGGACTGATGTTGATATGCGACAATAACACTGGTATGTTAGATTTACCAATGTTTTATTTGATCTTTTTTTATCCGATTACCTGAATAATCAATAGATTACTCGATTACTAAAATGTTCGTTTACAACAGCCATATTTGATTTATGTTCATAAAAACTAAACATCTGGTGAAATAAATGTTCCTTATGGTGTTTTCCTGTGGAGTTACTACATCAGCTTCAGGTTATTTTACGTTAATATTCAGATCATAATGGTCTTAAAGCAGCTTGAAACTTACAGAAACCACTGCTGAAGCAAAGGTTGTCCGAAGAATACTGCTGTAAAGTTGAGTGGCAGGAAGAACACACTGAAGATCCGGACGTTGTCTCTGCAGGTGAAGGTCCTGTTTGTGAGGAACCTGGCCAATGGCGTCACAGAGGAGATCCTGGAGAAATCCTTCAGCCAGTTTGGGAAGCTGGAGCGAGTGAAGAAGCTCAAAGACTACGCCTTCGTCCACTTCGAGGAGCGGGACGGAGCCGTGAAGGTACCGGCCACGACCCGGCGTACGCTTCCCGTCTCTGACTGGACGGCCGAATGAAACTCTGCTCCTCCTGCAGGCGCTGGAGGAGCTGAACGGGACGGAGCTGGAGGGAGAGCCCATCGAAATAGTTTTTGCCAAACCGCCTGATCAGAAAAGGAAGGAGAGGAAAGCCCAGAGACAAGCTGCCAAGTCCCAAATGTAAGACAGGTCCACATGTTAGACAGGTCTCACCAGGTCCCAGAAGTTAGACAGGTCCCACCAGGTGCCGGATGTTAGACAGGTCCCACCATGTCGCAGATGTTAGACAGGTCCCAGATGTTGGACAGGTCCCAGATGTTGGACAGGTCCCACCAGGTCCCAGATGTTAGACAGGTCCCACCA